GCTGGGAAGGTGGCTCAGTGGTAGAGCGCTTGCCTTGCATGCCTGAGGCCCTGGGTTCGATTCCTCAGCACCACATAAGCAAAAAAGAAAAAAAAGAACTTCTTGAGGCTCCATGCCACCCAATATCTGGGCATGGTGGTGCACATTTGTCATCTGCACATGCAGATAAGCATAAGTGAATAGTTTATGCCATCCTCATAATAAAGCAAGACCCTACCCCAAAAATAAGTACACAAGTTGGTACCAGTGGCTCAAGCTTGCAATCCTAGCTACTCAGAAGGTTGAGTCCAAGTAGACAAATCTATCAAACTCTTACTCCAACTACAAGCAAAATGCTGGAACTGAAGTGTAGTTCAAATGGCAGAGAATGAGTGTGAGGCCTTTTTAGTTCAAGTCCCAGTACCAGTCTATATGTGTCTGTATGTGCATATTCCTGCTCAACACACACACACACACACACACACGCACACGCACGCACGCACACACACACACACACACACACACACACCCCACACAGAAAATACCAATACAAAAAATGAGGCAGTTCAAGAAATAGAATGCCTACCTAGCAAGCATGAGGCCCTAATTTTAAACTTATCTTTTGGCTATGGACATAAAATTGAGTGTGAGGCCTTTTTAGTTCAAGTCCCAGTACCAGTCTATATGTGTGTGTATGTGCATATTCCTGCTACACACACACACACACACACACCACAGAAAATACCAATACAAAAAATGAGGCAGTTCAAGAAATAGAATACCTACCTAGCAAGCATGAGGCCCTAATTTTAAACTTATCTTTTGGCTATGGACATAAAATTGAGTGGTAGAATACTCTCCAAGCAAGTGAGTCCTAGACTTTATCCCTAGCATTGCATTGTGGGGGAAAAAATTTACAACAGTAACTGAGTTTGTAATACTTGCCTCGTCTAGTGGATCCACATCTGTTTTCCTCATCTTAATAAGTACATCATATGCCTGTTGAAGTGCTCTGACCTTTGGATGAGAAACTCTAACATAGGCTGGGAGACAAATAAACCATAAACTGTAACAATGACTAAACAGACATTTGGCCCATTGTGGTGGATTTGTGTAACATCTCTTCGCCAATTTATGAGCTGACTTTATCTCCTAGAAAGAGAGTAAAATATGTGATTACCTACATTAGAGTGGGAAAGAAAGAAGGAAATGACAAAGTTTTCAGGCAAAATTGGCCCTAAAAAAAAAATCAAGCATTTCATAGTTTAACTTTTGTGAATGGATTCTAACACTGTCATGTGGTTCCCTGAACATTCATTTACAGTAATACTTTTTACTACTCTATAGACATTCATTGGCTAGAAATTACTTAAAAAGCAAAAACCATTCATAATACAGAAAAAAGGTGCATGTGTTTCATAGATAAGATTGTAACCAAAACTATACAACCCAGACTTAATCATTTATAATTCCAGAGTTCTTCTATTCCAATCTTAATAAACAATAGTCTTATTCTTCTTCCTGCTAAAGTTGAAACTCCTCTAAGCTGTTTCCTGCCAACCTTCTCCCTATACCAAGTCTAACACTTGAAAGGCTGAGAAAAGAAGACAGCAAATTCAAGACCAACCAGGGCTAAACAGATGAGTCCAATGCCAGTCTGAGCTCAAAAACAAAAACAAAGACAATCCAGATGATGGGCTGGGAAGGTGGCTCAGTGGTAAAGCGCTTGCCTGGCATGCATGAAGCTCTGGGTTTGATTCCTCAGCACCACATAAGCAGAAAAAGCCAGAAGTGGCGCTGTGGCTCGAGTGGTAGAGCACTAGCCTTGAGCTGAAGAGGTAAGGTACAGTGCCCAGGCCCAGAGTTCAGGCCCCATGACCAGCCAAAAAAAAAAAAAAATCCAGATGAGCAAGGTGGGACATGCCTGGTCTAACTACTCAGGAGACTGAAATAAGAGGATCATGAGTTCAAAGTCAGTCAGGACAGCTCTGGTACTTGCATGAATGTATTTGCTGTATATATAGTACTTACATGCATGAAGCCCTGGGTTCAGTATCTAGCACTGAAAAAAAAAAGTGCAAATACTAATTCTTTTGCAAGCAACATAGCCATAAAAGATGATAATAGGTCTTCTAGTAGTTTGACTGGCATATTTTTAGTTTCTGTTTTCATTTTCTTAGGTGGAAGAAAGATAAGTTAAAATCATCTGCTGAAGTAGCAGTATTGTGCAAAGTGGTACAGTACTACGCTTGAGTAAAAGAGCAAAGGGAAAGCATCCAGGCCCTGAGTTCAAGCCCTACGATAGGCAAAGAGAAAGTTCTTTGCCTGGCACGGGTGACTCACACCTGTCTGTAATCCTAGCTACTTAGGAGGCCAAGACCTTAAGATTGTGGTTGAGAGCTAATAAGGGAAGGAAAGTCCATGAGATTCTTATCGCCAATTAACCCCCAGAAAACAGGAAGTGGTACTATGACTCAAAGTGGTAGAGCACCAGCCTTGAGTAAAAAGCTAAGTGCCCAGGCCCTGAGTTCAAGCCCCACGACTGAAGAAAAAAAAAAAATCATTTGCTGATGATTTGTTAACCTATATACTCCCAGAAACTACAGAGCCTTGCAGATATGTCAGAATGGCATATCTGCACTGTTCTTTTTTTTTTTTTTTT